CATAAAATAACATAAAATAGATACAAAGAACGAAAATTAGGTGGCACGGCCAACCATATAATAAAGAAACAACAGATCGGGAGGCTCGGCCTTCCCTTTAAAGAAATAAAAAAAAACAAGGAAGCTCGACCTTCCTTTAAATTAAAATAACTAAAGTAATAAGATTGAAAAAGGAACGAGTGTACCTGATTTATGAAGATTATGAAAGAGAAGAAAACCTCACAGAAAGTAGCAGAAAATAATCCTTGACGCAAGTCATCGGCAACAGTGCCAAAAACTTGTTACAACTTTAAGGTTGCAAACCCAAGTGCAGGTTGTCGCAAGTAGTAAATCTCATAAGCCCGAGGTCTTACCACAGGGAATTGGAAGGAAATAAACTAGTCTATGAGTAGTGAACGGTTGGTTGAAATACGATGAAGACAAACACTAGAGCGTTGGGGATTCACTTCGGATAAATGGGTAGAAATTACTCTTGATCTTTTATTTAACTCATATGGAAATCAACTAAGGAGTGATCTCATATGGAAGTTAAAACATTGATCGTAAATATACTAAAAGATAGATCTTGAAAATTGTTTGAGAGAATGTGTCAAAATAAGTTGTTGGTATGTAGAGATTATCTAAGCATTTATTGTGCCAAAATTTGTCAACAATAAATCAAAATCTTTAACAAATCAAAACCATTTGTAGAACATATACTTCAATCAAGTAAGAAGATGAACATTTAAAAACAAAGTAAAAGATCAAAGACAATACTACACATTCACCAAATGTTTCACCCCTAGCTCTAGCTAATAGTTTAGAAATACATAATGAAATGTTACAAAGAAAATGAAAGAAATTAGAATATGATGAAAAGGAATTGATGATCTCAAAATATTGGCCAAGGTCCCCTTTTGTAGGCAAAGGAACATCCAAGATTGTTTCTGTACAGCTTCAAGACACTTGGAACATGCAATTTGATGTCAATTTTCAGGTACTTTTTGTAGTGAATTTGGACTTATGATAAACAAATAAATTATTTTTAATTGAGTTAGCTTTCCATTGGTGCAAATATCTGGTTCATTGGATCTATATAACTCCAGATATGGCAAAAACAATGAGTACTGCTTCACTGGTAGAAAAGCTATATCCGTCAGGTAACAAGCTGGACTTTGCACGGAAATTTTGACTATCTTATGATTCGAATTTGACTTCTTGGTAAACATGAAATTTGTAGATACATATCTTATCTTTCAAACCCAACTTGAATCACCATGGTTCGATATCTGCAGCTCAATTTATGATCATTTTACCAACACCTACTTCTTGCGTGAGACAGTTCACTATACTTGACTTTTTAACACTTTTTTCCTCCAATTGCTCCACTTGTTCTAAATAGGATATACATGTGAAATACATCAAATAAATTCTTTTTTAAATGTATAATAATCATGCCAACATGTATTTAAATATGTATTTCGATTAATTGCACTTTTAATCATATATTTATGGAAATTGAATTTACGGCAAGAGAATCGAAATTAGAGACTAACATTAGTGTTTTTAAACAAAGTGAATATAAAATGCCTTGTAAATGATATATTTTTTAAACACTTTTAGACACTAATCAGTAACTTTGTTACATTTCGTAGAAGTTAAGGATAAAAATTTCCCTAAAAATTATTTGGAACACAACGAAATATTTGGGAAATACCAAATGCAAGCAAAAGAAATACTTATTTAGATAAGAAAAAAAATTGATTCTTTTTTCTTTTTTTTTTTGGAAAATACTGTATGTTGAGTCTCTTTGAATTCCATTTTTTTGAAATGAAAAATGAGTTTTATAATAGTGATTTTTTTGAGAAGTAATGCTATTTGCATATCATTATTTAAAGATTGATAAACAGAATAATGACATGGAATAGAGAGTAAGAAAAAAATAGAGAACGAAAAAAAAAATCAATTAATATAATCCACGTGGATAAGAAAGCTTTGAATTTTTTGTGGAAAATACTGTTTGTTTAAGAATCTACTTGAGCCCTCCTTTTTAATGAAAAATGAGTTTTGTAATAGTGTTTTTTGGAAGATTAATGATATTTGCACATTATGATTTACAAATTGATATACAGAACAATGATATGGAAGAAAGAGAGAGAAAAAAATATAGAAGAAACAAAAGAAGTCAATTAATATAATCCACATCATCATTCCATAAATCAATCTGTAAACTATGATATACAAATAGCATTAAAGAATGTATGATTAAAAGAATAAGAAAAATTTTTAAATTTATTGAGAGAATTACTCACAGATTTTTTACAGTGCCCCTCACTGTGCAGAGCCCCACACATGTATTAAATAAAAAATAAACAATTAAGTAGGCTCCACATATGTGTGTGGCCTGGCCTCTATTTGTAAGTCTAGTAGGGTTCGAGAATAAATGACCAATAATAAATTTTTAAAAAATGGAACTCGAACAGTAATCAAATCTTCGAAACAAATTGCAATAGTACGAAAACAAGCAAAACGGCGCGTTAAGTGAGGTGATACTTCTGCTCATCTGCCACCATTTATTTCGTTGATCTAACAGCATTTAAATGCTCACATCTGCATCTTCGGCTAATAGCATTTAAATGCTCACATCGGCAGATTTTTTTTTTTTAAATCACTTTTAATCAAATATATCTTTTAATCTATATATTTAGTAGGAATAACAATTATCATTTCTATTTATTAACGACACACACCACCACAATTTATGAAGAAGAAAAATGCTACTTAATCATTTTTGCACTTTTAAGAAAACCAATCAATTAATAATAGGAAAAATCCAGATGGCCATGGTGTTGGTGATCGAACGGTGCCCGACCCCTCACTGTGCCGTGGGCCCGGTGCAAAAAAATATTGCCAAAAAATTGTGGGCCCGACCCCATGTGAGGGATCGGGCACCGGCCTGTCACTGCCTCTTCTGACAATGTAGGTCGGTTGAAAAATTATAATTAGTTTTACAAGTCAAATTAATAAAGTTATGTAGTACTATTGGTCCCATAACATTAATGTACATGTTTCTAATTGATAGATCAAGTTTCATGTCCTACTTTTAAAATGATGTATCAATTAATTATACATGAATGTCCCACGGACACTTAGAATCAACTGTGCTAAATATCATTACTCAAATTAAATATATAAAAATGTAGTTAATAATAATTTAAATTTTAATCATTTGTTAATTTTATTATAGTACAAGAATTAAACTTCGAAATTATGTAAATTATTTGTTAACGGTGAAATTAAGTAACTTCGTTTTTGAAGTCCACAAAAGGTCAGTTATAACTATAATGTGCAATTGTTGATCTATGCAATCAAATATTATTTGGTAAAAAAATCTGTAAAGTTTCAGTTTTCGAATTTTATTAAAAAAATTGAAAAAATGGAAAATTCTATTAAAATTGTCCAAACGGTTTTAAACGTCTTAAAAGCTTGGGTAGTTAAACTTTCTCTCTTACTGCCTACCTGGAGCTGCTTTTTCGATGACTTTTAAGCAAAAAAAGAGCCGTTACCAACAATTGTGGGTCCCATCCGAGAGAGGAATAGTCAGAAATGATGGCCACTGTTGAAAATTAAAGATTTTTTGACCATAAAAATCCATTCCAAACAGCCTCTTATCCACCGTCCTCTCTCCAGGTGTGAACAAAGATTAAGACGCAAAAATGGCTGCTGTCCTGTTTGGCGTGCAAAAAATCATATACATGGCTTGGAGTAAAACTATAAAACTATGGTCATTGCTTGTTGAATCAGTGGTCAAATATGGAAATTGTTGGATCAAAAATCCAAATGGCTACTGAATTTTGTACAATGTCCTTCATTAGCTAGTTAGTTAAAAATTTAAAAGGTTTTCGAAGGGTTGTTGAACTTATCAAATTGTTATCCCATTCATCTTTAAACTTTGAAAGTTTTTTGGATCGTAATTGAATTTATCAAACCGTTATTCCATCTACCAATTAATTTATTCACTGCTAGAAAATTTGATAGACTCACTGAAATGACAAATGAAACACTGATAAAAATACTTTATTGTCATTGTTGACGACAAATCAGCAAAAAAAAAATGTGCTTATAAAAATGAGATTAGCTAAATAAAGCCAAATGTTAAAATTCAATTGAATTTTTATAAACGCTTTTAATAGATGGAAGAGCATTTTTTACTTTTTAGCTGATTTTTCGTCAACCCATAACAATAATAATATATCAAGATTGCGCGTCAAATTTTCTAATATTTAGTTCTTGAATAATGGATGAGATAACTATTTGATAAGTTCGTTGACCATCCAAAAAAACTTTTAAATTTAATAATCAATAAGATAACGATTTGATAAGTTTGGTGACCATTCAAAAAACATTTGAAGATTCGTTATCAATAAAGAATATCATATAAATTTCAATTACCATTTGAATTTTTAACCCCTTTTTTATTTGTGTGTGTGTGTGTGTGTGTTCAAATCTGGAATTAGATTACTTCTCATTTAAAACCCACATGAAAAATCATAATAATTTTGCAATGTTTAATCCAATTTTTCAAATATTTTGCTTAAAGGTTTACTCCTGATTTCCAAATTGTTTTGTGTAAAAAGTATATAGTGCGAGATAAATAGATATGCAAATTTGGAGTAGAACTATGTTCGAATAGGGAAATATCCCAACACCCTTCTGAAAACAATCCCATTCACCCTTGTCCTTGCATTGAAGTGATTATTTCAAAAGTAAATTTTTATTTATTGAGAAAACACAATTAAAAAAGTAGAAAGAAGTTACGAGAACATTTAAAAATTAATATTTTTAAAGAATGCATAGTTGAAAATGAGCAGAAAAAAAAAAGATTATCAAATAATCGCTTTCAGACAAAAGTCAAGACATTTCTTTCCTTTTCATTCGAGGACTAGGACACGTGAAAAACTTCTGTCATACAAATAACGTGGAGCAACATTTCTTTCCTTTTCATTATAGGATTAGGACACGTGAAAAACTTTTCTCCTACAAATAACGCGGAGCACTCCGAAACCTTAATTCTTAACATGGATATAAACCTAAGAGAATTCAGGTTAGAATCGTAGTAGGTATTCTTTGCTTAATTTCTAGTTCACTCTTTGCGTAAAGGTGTTGCTTAATTTCTTGTATCGTGAAGTTAAAACCCTTATTTTGGTTTAGCTTCTGCGTTGAAAGATACAGAGAAGAAAGGCATATTAATACAAATCAAGAAACCAAGATGATCCGAGTAATGGATGAAAGAGAAGTCAGTCTTCATTCACTGGCAATTCCATGCAGATTGTTGAGGTTTATTGTTCCTTTTGGATTGCTCAGAACATTCGCAGGCCAGAGATTATTTGCAGACCAATGCCAGATTTTGTGCGATTTCATATCGGTGAAGCTTGCAGAAGAGGCAGCGAAGCCTGTGATTTTGGGTCCCCGTTTACATGATAAGTGTAAATGATGCCATGGAAAAGAACTCATTCATGTTCGACTTTTACTTTTACCACTTATTGAAATTCTATAATGTTGAGATTTTTACTTTTCTTATACAGATTCTTCGTCAATTGTGGTTTCTTGATTTAATTTTAGGTACAGTATTACGTTTGAAAGAAAATTGCAGCATTGGTCACCAAGTTGTGAGGTAGAGTGGCTCCTTTTATGTGTTAATAAAGCATCGTGACCCTTTGGTGGGTCGATCAATTGCATTAAGTAATAGATAAAGGATCTATTTTAACCGCAAGTACATTTGCCATTCAATTCCGTCATCAAATCTATACAGCCTAGTAGATTGGTAGAGTTTGACCCTGGCTTAGAAGGAACACAAGGTCTATGCTTAACAGACGCGAGTCAACAAAATCCTGCATTCTGGTCTCCCTTTCAACCTTGTATTGGGATATCGGGGAATAACAGTTTATGAGGTACTAATATTTTAAGCAAAATATATTTGGTTGCTTAAGTGAATATATCAAATGGGGTAAATAGCATAAAACACCCCTATCTTTAATGTCATTGTGTAAAACGTCCCTACTTTTTATTTTTTGACATTTTCATCCTCTTTCCTCATTTCATTGTGCAAAATGTTATTTTCATCCATTTTTTCAATAAAAAGACAATTTTACCGTCGTATTCAAATAAAATAAAAGGACTAATAGCAACAATAGTGCCAAATTTTCAAAAAATTACAAATTAATCACAAATATATAATTAAAAGTCAAAATTGAAACAACAAATCATTCTTCTTCTTCTTCCACACATAGTGACTTCCCCAATGGCTAAAAAATCCCTCCAACCCTGGCCAAGACACAACGATTTCACAATGGCAACAAAATCAGTAAGGCACTGTTTGATACAATATATTTTCCATGGAAAATGGAAATCCTTTTTCATTTCCCACTTTTTTGGGTGTTTGATACACCGTTTTTTCCAGGCAATTGTTTTCCATGAATAGTGCTCACACGGGTGCCAATTCCAGCATTTTAGGAAAAATGAATTCCCATGAGGTATGGTGGTTTTTCAAATTCCAGCTTTTATTTTTTTTGCATTTTTTTTTTGGGGAAATGGAAACAATTTCTAAGAGTTATTGAAAAAAAAATCATTTAATTGACAATTTTCATGTAAAATAAAGCCAAACGAACACCAAAAGATAGATGATTTTCTTGAAATTTTATTTTTATTATTATTTTTGCAATGGAAACAAATTTCATCCTCAATAACAGTAAATTCTATCACTTTAATTGACAATTTCATATAAAACAAAGCCAAACGAACACTAAAAAATGCTTTTATTTCAATATTTTTCACATGAAAAATTATATCAATCAAACACAATAATTTACAATTCTCATTAAAACAATTTTTAGACAATTCAATTCCCTAAAATTCATTTTCAATTCAATTCAATTCCATCTTTACAATCAAACGGACCCTAAGTTAAAAACAAAGGGAAACCAAATATGCAATTCAAGGTAACACACAGACACAGCAAGAAAGTAAAGAAAAAGTACTTTTTGTCTTCAATAATTTCACCAATCCGACGTTTTCCTGTTCCAAAAATCCATAAATCACACAAAATAATTATCAAAGAGAGAGTTACATCAAAAGCTAATAGATATGATGTAAATAGAAAATGCAGAACAAATTACCTTAACAAGTTGGTCGATGTAATCTTTGCCAAAAGTAGAATCTGAAGGCAACTTGCTCCGAAATCGCAAGAGAATTGGGATTTGGCAAAGAATTAGTAATATCTGAAAGCCTCATTCTCACCATGTTTCAAAAAGAGGATCTTTTCACCATTTTTATCATCTTTCATAATCATCTTTCAAGATCCCTTTCGAAAAATAACCTAAAAAATTCAAGATACCCAAGTGGAATTTCTAAGAAATAAACACTAAATTTCAGACCCCGAGGATTATCCTGAAGTGAAATTACACCAAAGGGGCATATGGATGTTTAATTCTACAAAATGGGCTTATGTGTCTGTTATTAATTACAAAAAAAATTAATGTAAATAAAAAATGTGTGTGAAGGAAGAACATGACTAATTTTTGTTTATTTAATTTTGATTTTTAATTATATATATGTAATTAATTTGTAATTTTTTGAAAATTTGGGACTACTGTTGCAATTAGTTTATTTCATTTCATTTCTTTTTGTTTTATTTGAATAGTCTGGTAAAATTGTTTTTTTATTGGAAAAATGAATTAAAATGACCTATTGTGGAATGAAATGTGGAAATAGGGGTAAAAATGTTAAAAAATGAAATATATGAACGTTTTGCATAATTACATTAAAAGGTGGGGATGTTGTGTTTTTTACCCTATTGAATGAGATCAAACTCGATGTGATAAAAATTTCTCAACTAATTTATTGGTCACTGAATGATCAAGGCATATTGAGACGGTCTATAATTGTCCACAAGAGTCTATTTCCGTTATGTCACCCACAGGGAGTTGTCGTGTTAAAAGGCATAACTCATCACAAAATCCAAGTCACCGTAGCTCATGTCGAGTCAATACATCATGACACTCAAACAAACAAAAGAAAAAAACCAAACTGTGAATAAAAGCCAACATAGCAGCAAGACGCTAATTTTGCAGAAACTAGCTTTGCCAGAAGGTACTCAACTAGACACCAATGTGACAAACTCCAGGAACACAAGAACATGACATAAAAGTGCATTAGCTATGTAAAGACGATATGACCCCTCCTAGAATTCCCATTTCATTCAATGCTTTATATAACTACACGAGCTGAAATATTCTTGTACACACAAGATTTCTTGCACAAAATCAAATAATAAAAAATATTATGAGTCACAGAAGTTTTATCTAATAAATAACATCTCTTGTGAGATCACATAAAATCAAAGGGAAAACGCTTGTCTTCATCTCCACTCTTCGGTGAAATTTTTCCAATAATCCACAAACTCAAAACTTATATTTATATTTGGTGAGATCATAAAGAAAGAAATCGTGTACAACAATTGATTATGCTATAACACTAATGCAGCTGATAAAATTTAAGAAGCTTGGTTTGAACTTTTGCCAACAATATAAAATTCCAGCATTTCTTCTTCTACTTGGTGAACGTTGCCTACTATGAAGAGGCAATGCAAAGGTGGTCCAAAATCTATTGTCAAAAGTTGCTTCATCGAACCTGTGACTATCGCCTGATCTTCACTACCTACTCGGGCCAAACCAACACGGGTAGTGTCCTTACTATATGCTGCAATTCGGATAGCATGCCATGATCAGCTCATGTTTATAATGATCGTTGTTAGTGGTTTCCACTCATATCATGAAGTGATTCTTTTTATTTTTAATGTGCAACTCTTATTATAACTTCGTAGGAATTGCATAAAATGGCGAGAACTCATGAACATACCTGATTCTCTACGGTTTTGCTAAATCTCTACGAGCTGTTCAATTGCAGTGTTTATTGTAATATACCTTGGTGGCTCATACTCTCTTTTCCCTCTGAAATATCACGAGGAGCAGACATGTGAATATTGGTCCAAGTAATTGAATGTATGCGCAGGAGAAAAATGGAGTGATGGAAAATAAAGCAAGGTTGAGTTCTATAACGATGGGACATATTAGCCTCGTCACTAACCTGCACAAGGATTCTAGTGAGGGTTCCTTCACTCGTAAATCTGAAAATATCAAAAAAGTGCAGTAAGTTTCACAAAATACAAAAATTTCAAAATTAACCACTACATATCAAATCCAAGAATATAAGAATAAAAATGTTGACTCTACCTAACCAGCAAAGAGTGTGCAATCCGAGTGTTCTATTTCTTCTAATCTTCTCGTAAAAACTATCAGGCCTCCAGTTCTCTGTGAAAAAAGGTATTGAAATTATCTCCCCATACCGATAAAGCTGTAGCCAGCAAACTCCAATTGCATTCATCACTGATGCATTGTAGACCACCTTAACATCCACCCCCAACTTCTTCGCTCGCACAACAAGATCCGTGTGGGTTGTTGCTCTTTATTGGTCATAGAATAGTAATCACAAGCCAACATAGGTAGAAGTAAAGACGATAGTCTCAATTTTTACAATCACAAATTCATATGTGCTTTCATACAAACACAACCCTTACTTTACACACTTGTTCCCAAGCAATGGAAAATCTCAGAGCAAAAGATGCATTTATTTTTGGAAAAAAATAGATGTTTCTGTGGTGAAAATCTAAAATAGATTTACCCATTATATAGAACCAAATAAAGGTTTTACTCACACTAACAAATTTACATAACCCCCACCCAAATCACTCCGCCTACAAAGAAATCAACTGCAATAACACAATTTTCTCTTATCAACCTCAAATTCCACATCAAGCCTCATCAGAAACAAGGAATTTGGAATTCAATTGAGAAGATGAATAAATGAGATTAAACAGACAAAAAAATATTAGGAATTTCCACAAAAAATAAATTAACAGAAATAAAAATTACCCAAGTGGATCCCCGACGACTAAGAAGGCCACATCAGAAGACTGAGCTTCTGAAAGTATATCATCTGTCTTCTCCTCTACCGTTTCTCTATCTGCAACTATAATTAATTTTCCATAAAGATTTTCCTGCAAAAACATAAAAATAAAGATTCAAACTTTATGAAACTTGCACTCGAACCAAAAAAAGAAAAAGATAAAAAAAAATGACCCACCAATGTGGATTTGCCAAGGGAAGAGAGACCAAAGGAGAGGAGAGAAGTGTAGGCTTCCATATACACTTTGCTGCATTTTTGGACTGTTTCAAGCCCTCTCAATGTAATGTCTTTCTGATCCCCTAACCCTAATCCTACCTAATACAACATGCTTCCTCTCTCTTTGAGTGTGACTTCTTACAGTATATTTCCTCAGAATATGAATTTGCAGCTTCGCAGAGGGGAAGCAACGGTTTAAACGCTAGTGTATTGGGGAAATACATGAAATTGATCCAAATGAAAGAGGGATTTTTCAAAATGACTTTTGACTTTTATAAACATTTTGAATTACCTAGAACACCCTTTAACAAATATTAAAAAATAACCCTTTATCTAATAAAAATCTTCTATTTAAGTCTTTAAAAATCTAAAAAGTAATTTTTCTAAAAATTTGTGAGAATTATTAATGAATAATTATAAAATAGAA